GGCCACAGCACGGCTCTTTCTTGATTCTAGAGATCTACTTCTTTTTTTCTTCACTAAATTGTTGCCTTCCAAGTTTCTTGATTCCAGGTCCTGGATAGGTTGTATTTTGCTGCCAGTCTTTACTCTGCCATTCTTAATCCCCTCTTTATTTCTGTGCTGTTTTATATGCATTGATTTAGGTATGTTGAACTATCCTTGCATCCCTGAAATGAGACCAACTTGATCATTGCGTACAATTTTTAAAACATAATTTTGAATTAGACTCCCCAGTACTGTGTTGAGATTTTTTTTGCATCTGTGTTCATCATGGATATTGATATATAATTTTCTTTTTTCTTGTGTCCTTGCAGGTTTTTATAGCAGGACAACAATTGTTTTGTAGAACGAATTTAGAAGAGTTCCTTCCCTTTCTATTCTTCTATTTGATCGAAGTATTTGAGGAGCATTTGTACATTTGTTCTCCCCCCCCCCTTAAATTCTTTCATTGGTACATTTTAGGTATACCATACGTTTACATTTATCATTGGGTGCTTGTACCTGTACATGAAGTATCTTGGTTTTCATTATTTTTTCCCCATTACCTGTGTGCCCCTCACTGCCTCCACCCTTCTCTATTTACATAGACTTTGTTTCCATTTTGTACATTTGTTCTTAAAACCAGTAAAATTCAGCAGCAAATCTGTCTAGTCTTGGACTTTTCTTTATTGGGAGACTTTATGCACTGTTTCAATTTCATTCTATAAAAATAAATCAAGAAACTTTTAATATAATCTCAGTTCAATTTTCATAGACATGTATGTCTAGAAATTTATTTCTACTAGATTTTCCATATCATTGGCATATACTCTTTCAGCATATTCCATAACAATCCTATCTATTTCAGTTCAATCATTTGGAGCTTCCCCATTTATCCTCCAATTTTACTTATTTGAGTCTGCTCAGTCTTTCTTTTGTTTAGTTTGGTTAAGAGTTTGCCAGCTTCGGTTTTGTTTATTCTTTTAGCCTCTATTTCATCTATTTGTTTCTGATCTCTATTATTTTTTCTTTCTGTTGATTGTGAGTTTAACTTTTTCTTATTTTTCTAAGACCTTGAGATGAATCATTAGATTATTTATTTGGGGTCTCTGTAGAGTTTTAGTGTAGGTACTCATATCTGTGAGAGTCACACTATTTCCCATCTTTTTATTTTATATTATTTTATTTTTTATTATTTTACTTTATTAGTACATAATGTTTATATTTCTTGTGGAAGTTGGTACATGTTCATAACACATCTTAATTCTTTTTTTTTTTTTTGGTACTGGGGATCGAACTTGGGTCCTTGTGCTTGCACCGCAGGTGGTGAAACCACTGAGCTAAATCCCCAGCCCTTCTTAATCCATTTTTTTCATCCCCTTTCCTTTCTCTCACATTCCTCTCCACTCATCCTTTGATTCCCTTCCTTTTTTTTCTTTTGTAGCTGTTTTCAGTACATAATGTTTTCATTTCATGTGTGGAGTTGGTACATGTACATAACATATCCCAGTTCCCTTTTTAAAAAATTATTTATCCCTTCCCTCCCCACCTCCATATCTAGAGCAAAATAAAAGATTTACTATAAATACTGCTTTTATAAATCTCAGACAGTCTGGGATGTTGAGTTTTCATTTGATTCTAGGAATTTTTAATTTTATACCCAATTTCTTTAATGACCCTGTCTTTACTCAGTCTTCCTGTGTTTGTTTAATTTTTGTAGCTTCTCTCACTGTTCATTTATTTTTCATTCCATTAAGATGCAAGAAATTATTTCATTAAAAAAATTGTTTCACTTGTAAAAAATTGCTTTATGGCCTAAAATATAATCTGTTTGGAAAAAGGTCCATGTGGTATTGAAAGAATGAAAGACTGTGTATTCTGTAACCATTGGATGAAATATTATGTAGCTTTCTGTTAAGTGCATTTTATCTATAGTGTAATTTAACTCTGATGTTTCTTTATAAATGTTTTGTCTTGATCATCTATCTATTGGTAATAGTGGAATATTTAAATCATCCAATATTACTGTATTGGAGTTTATCCATACCTTAATGTCCAGTGGTGTTTATTTTATAAAATTGGGTTCTCTAATGTTCAGCATGTATATATTATATCATTATATCTTTTGATTAGTTTCCTTTTATTAACATGAAGTGATCTTTTGTGTCCTCTGATTTCTGCCTAAAATTTGTTTTGTTAGACATGTTTATATCTATTTCTTGTTGCTTTTGGATTCCATTTGTTTGAAGTATTATTTCCCATCTTTTCACTTGCAGTCTGTGTGTGTCTTTGCCAGTGAGGTGAGTTTTGTGCAGGCAGCAAGTTGTTGCATCTTTTTTAAAAAATAAAATCAGCCAATCCCTGTCTTTTAACTGAAGAATTAAGATAATTTATATTCAAGGTTGTTATTAATTCTTCTCATTTTGTTGATTTTCTTCTGGATGTTTTGATTTTTAATGTACATTTTATCTCTTATTCATCTTAGAAGTTTGATGGTTTTCTATAATGGTCAATTATTTTCTAATTTTTTTTTTTTTTTTTTTTGCTTATGTACTCTTCTAGTGAGATGTTTTCTTCCCCATACTCTCATGATTGTGTTTTCCTTCCATATCTGTTTGCAGAATTCCCATAAGTACCTTCTGTAATTGTTGCTTACTGGTCATTAATTTCTTTAGTTTAGTCTTATTTTAGAAAGTCTTTAATTATCCTTCAACCATGAAGGTTATCTTTGCTGGGTATAATAATTGAGATTGGCAGTTAATTTTTTTCCAGGACTTGAAATGCTTTATTTCATGCTTTTCTAGCATTTAGTGTTTCTGCTAAGAACTCTGCACTCTGATGGGTTGGCATTCAAATGTGAGTTGGTACTTCTCTCCTGCAGCTTTTAGTGTTCTTTGTTCTGTATTTTTGGCAGTTTAACCATAATATATTGTGGAGATGTTCTTTTCTGGTCATGTATATTTGGGTTTTTAAATTTCTCCTGTAGTGATACTCACATCTTTCTTAAGAATTGAAAAATTTTCTGGTATTATTTCACTGAATATGTTTTTTATGCCTTCAGTCTATAACTCCTCTCCCTCAACTGTTCCAAGTATGTTGTAAGTTTGGTCTCCAGACTGTATGTTGGTCTACAACTGTATGTTGTATCTACTCTTTATTATTTTTCTTTATTACAGTCTGAATGTGATAATTTATGAGTCTTATCATCAAGATATGATAATTCATTTTTCTGCCGATCTAGTCTATTGGTAAAGTTTCAACTGACTTTTAAAATTTGACTCATTGAGCTTTTCATTTCCAAGGTTTCTGTTTGACTCTTTTTCAAAATCTATTTCTACTGACTTGCTCCTTCATATTCTGCAACGCCTTTTTCTTTTTTTTTTTAACTTTTGATTTTTGGTACCAGGGATTGAACTCAGGACCTTGTGCTTGCAAGGCAGGTGCAGCACCACTGAGCTAAATTCCCAGCCCTGCAATGTCTTCTTTAAATTCATTCTGTCATTTATTTGTTTCTTCTTGGAATCCATTGAGCTTTTTAAATATAATTCTATTGAATTCTTTATCTGGCATTTTTATCTACTTCAATATCATTGGAAATAAGTACTAAAAAGTTATAAGCTTTAGGAAGTGTCATGTTCCTTTGTTTTTTTCATTTTGTGTGTGTGTTTCCATGTTGAAATTTGTGCATCTGTTGGGATAGATGTTTATTCCACTTTTATATGACATTCTTTTGGTGATGTGCCTGTACAAAGTGCAGTTGATTCAGATTCCAAAATGGGAGGGTTACAGAGGATGTCCTGAATAATTATATAAAACCCTGTGCATTTAAACAGAGACCTGAGGCTTAGAGAAGAGCAGAGATTTGTCTTGGGTCACCAAAAAAGCGGGAGGCAAAGCTGGTGCTAGCTCTCAGGACACTTAGCTTCAGAGGCCATGCTCTTTCCACCCCATCCAAACTGCTCCTCCTCCCCAGACTTTGCCCTTCCCTGGGAGCTTCCTGGTACAAGGGCAGTGAGGTAGGTGGGTCAAACACACACCTTGAGATTTTTCTACATATTTCCCTCCTTATCTGCCTACTACCCCTCAAATTAATGTATGTCTCTAGAGAACACTATTCACATTATTTATTTATAAGGTGGTATCAAGGACTTAGCGTATCTTGCCTCTTTATTTACATCTTTATTTTAAACAATGACAATTCCTTTATAAATATTTATTCTAATGCCTGTATACATAGGAGTTAGCATCAGCAATTCTTTTTTTTTGGTACTGGGGATCGAACTCGGGACCTTGCGCTTTTGAGGCAAGCAGTGGAACCACTGACCACTGAGCTAAATCCCTGGCTCTTTATTTACATCTTAAACAGAAGCCTGGGGGAGGACATTGTTTAATCTAAAAGAATGTTATGTTAGTGAGGGAATCTCTAGCCCAAATCTGAAGCCCAGTGAAATCCTTAATGAGCAAGGATTTCCAAGCACTAGCAACATTATCCTTTTCTGTCTTTGGGGAAAGATATGGATTCCTGAGAATGTTAGTGGAAAGGAAGGAGGGAGCTGTCAGTATAGCCCCAAGGTTAGCTGGTCACACTGCAGGCTTGACAGTAGATAGGTCAGACTAACAGTGGATTGGAAAGGAGGAAATAGCATGTCTGCTGTTTATGCAACGTGTTTTTTGTTTGTTTGTTTGTTTCTGTGTATGTTTTCTTCCTGGTCCTAGGCAAAGATAAGCTTTGCAGATTTTCAATTCCTGCTGACATGAATACTGTAGTACTTGGGCTGATTGTTGGATTTCTGACACTAAGCTCTAGGAATGGAGCTCTTGCTTCTGGTTCTGCTCTCCTCCATTCCCCAGGAGCTCATCTCCTGGGTCCTCTTTTCTCCTCTGGGGAGATTGAGTGCTACATTTACATTCATCTCCCTGGAACTTCTAGGAGCCCAAAATCATAGAAGCCAAAAACAAATGAAGCAGATCTTTTTATTGGAAAGTAGATGAGAAAGGCAGTGACCTGCTTGGGCATCCAGAATGGAAGAATGGGCAGCGAGTGAAACTGTAGTGCTACCGGCAGCTGGGATTACAGGGAGGCCTGCAGGCCTGGGCCAAGGACAGGTACAGCTAAGACAGGATTCACCTGGTGGGGGAGAAAAGAATCAGAGATGTGATTCAGCAGGTCAAAGCACTCTGACCTACTGAGGAGCCAGGGACCTGACTCCTGCACCTTGCTTGTGGCCTCTGAGATTTCTCACAATCTCAGTCTGTCCAATACTCGGCCATTTCCTCCCTTCCACCACGCTGACATCACTCGCCATTGCTCAACCTTTTGTGCCAGCAGGGGTTCCCTCTCCTTCCGGATAGTGCTCACCTTAAAGGTTCAAACACACTGAATGTGACTTTTCCCAGGATCTATACCGTTAGCTGAATCTCGAGCTTCAACTGAAACGAGTTCTTCCATGGAATCGTGTTGTTTGAGCTGAAGGTGTCCTTTTAAAGGATCGAGATCTCCAGCTGAACCTGAGTCATCCATGGAATCTTCTTTGAACCGAATGTGACTTTTCTCAAGATGTTCATGCCTAACTGAAACTCGTTCTCCTGTGGGATCATCTTTCTCCCAAAAGTGGAGTTTATCAAAATCTTGACCTCGGCTTGATTCTGATTCTTCCACTTCTTTGTGCCACACATGGCTTATCAGAGGATCTTGTGCTCTACTAGGACCTGTTAGGAAAGAAATGTACTCACAGTTAGATCTATTATGCCTGTTCCGCACTACCATGTCTTTCCTGTAGGTCCAGCCACTGCTCCCGGCAGTCTGCACCAAACCATGCCCAGAAGCATGGGAAGTGCTCCAGGGCTAGCTGGGGTCTGTGCTCCTGAAAGACTGTTCCCTTCTTTCTGTGGACAGGGGCTACAGGACCACGGGTCCCTCAAGTGTGTGTTGCTTCCCCTGTTCACCATTCTGTTTCTCAGGAGCTGGTCCCAGACTGTGCTGACTCCCTGACCTGAGAAGGACACTTTGTTATTTCTTAGGAAGCTTAGAGAAGGAAGAAAGTGTCTTCAGTCACAAACCAGGTAACTTGAGTTCCAAGTTTGCTCTGGAAATTATTTTGACAATTTCTTACTCCTCTCTCCATCTCAGTTTCTATTTTGTGAACCAGGGGTCCTCTACTGGCATGACTTCTGTGTTTCTTAACCTCCTTTTAGAAGACAAATTATTCGGGTACTTTTACTGGGCAGGCAGGCAGGGGTCAGAGTCCACACCCAGTACACAGAGTGGGTCCTGAGCCTGTCACTTTGTTGCATGCTCTGCACTGATAATGATCCCTGAGGTCAAGGCCACATAAAAATATGGCTTGTATAAAAGATGCTCAGATCTCAACCACTGGACTGGAAAGTGCGGGGATTCTACCACTCAGATTCCTGCTTTCTCTGGACATGAGGGAAATGGCCACAAGGCTGAAGTGTGAGCTCCAGCCCTGCCTCCTACTCCAAAAGTGCTTCCTGTCTGGACCCAAGAGGTCCCTGAGAGCTTCATCCTCGCTACCTCAGCCCTGTCAGGTCTCCTATTCACTCAGCTTCTGTGGCAGCTGCCTCTGCTGCCCTTTGCCATTTTACAAGTGATCTTTGAGATGCACCAAGAAATGAATTGGGAGGTGGAATTTTGAATCTGAAATGAGAAGATACCTTTGAAATCACAATACACTGAGTGGGAGAAATGACTCCAATATTTAAAAAACAGAACATAAATCATGTACAAGGTGGATATTTACAGTGGGTAACATGCCTTCATCTTTTGTACAACAGCACCTTGCCTCTTCTGAAGAATTGTTATTTAAAATATCTACTATTAACTTAGAATTCTAGTAGGAGCTGGTAATTGTGAAAGCCTGCACCCTGTCCACAGAAACAGGTGTATGAGTGTGTGTACATGTGTGTCAGCCAGGACTGATGAGAAATTCTTTATTTTATGGACAGTAGAGGTAAGAAATCAGTTCTTTCTTTTGGTAAACATAGTATATATGATCTGGGGATTCCAGAAGCTGTAGTTTGCCAGAAATAGAGAAAATCAGAGAGAAGACTGACGACATCAGCCATCCTTTCCTACTCCTTAAACTTGGGAGGAGCTCTTTCTAGATTGTGGTTATAAGCCAGTAAGTTGGTCTTCAGTCTAGGATAGTCTGACTTGGTATCTGTCTTTGTTAATGAAAGTTTAGAGTAGTAGAGATACCCAGATTCAGGACGTTATCAGGAACAGACTGAACCAGAAGTCTGGGAGTCACTGAGTGGAGGTTGGGGTGAGAAGGAGGAAAGAACACTGATTACTGGAGAATGAAGCCTGGGGTTGAAATCCCCCTTTGTCACACTGGACTCAGACCACATGCACTCCAAAGCTGAAACTGGAAGTGAGATATAAAGACCTCAGAATGTTGGAGTATGCTGGAAACCTTAAAAAAAAAACCCACTGCTGAATAAATTATTCAAACAAAATGAGTATAGAATATACCATTTCTTTCAGGAATTTGAACTTTCTATTCAATTTCACATATTTGAAAAATTTATGGTGGTGAAGTCTACAGTGTTGTTTTCATATACATTGCTCATTTTGCTCAACATTATGTCTGTGAAATTCACTTATTTTAAAGCCTACTCTTGTGCTTCATACATTTCCACCTGTACAAATTATTATATGAAAATACAAAAAATGTATGTCTCCACTTTACTGTTGATACACAGTGATTAGCTCTAGTGTTTGGCTCTTGTAAGTAATTTTGCCATGAACAATCCTGTACATATCCTTTGGAGAACATCACAATGCACTTTTGAATGTATATATAGCTAGAGATGGAATTGCTGGGTCATGGAGCAAAAATCAAAGTGTATAGATATGATCAATTGTCATAAATACAGCAGCCTTCTAGTATCAATGTACCAACTTACACTGCCAACGAACTATGAGAGTTTAGCTACTCCATAACCTTGCCAATGTTTGGTATTGTCTGGCTTTTTAGTAACCATTCTGGTGATGATCTAGTGACATTTCCTTATGATTTAAATTTGTACTTCCCTAATGACTTGTGAAACTAAGCAATTGTTCACACTTTTATTGCTCATTTGGGTATCTTATTTCATGAAGCATTCTTTCAATATCTTGCTTATGTTTAACTGAGTTATCTATTTTATTGAATGGAAATATCTAAAATGTATGTATTTGCAGGAGAAAAAAATCTCTCATGCATTAAGAAGAAGAGTCTACATTGTTACCTATTTTAATACAGTTTGGCATTAGCTAGTCAAATTGAACATGTACACAATCTATGATTAAGAATTATAAAACGTAATATGAAATTAAGATAAATATTCCCACACTTTACAAAGAAAAATTTACATAGATGTACCGTTTTTATTAGTCAAATACTGGTAACAGCCTACATTACGACTGACAACTTAAAGGACAAATATACTATGGCATATTATTACAGTGAAATATTGTATAATTGCAAAAATAACTGCAATATAGCCATATGCAGCATGATTGTAATAAAAATAATGTTGAATGCAAACTACCAGGCCCCAAAGAAAATATTTAGAATTATGTTTGTTGAAAGCTCCAAACAAAGAAAAATAAGGGAATACATATCTACATATAGAATAAAGCTCAAAATTGAGTGCAAAAAATAAAAAAATGTGGAGATGAAATTCAGGTCGGTGAATAGCTAGGGAAGTGATGGGAGAAAATATTCTGGATGGGTAAGAAGCACATCATTAGGTGTAAATTATTGGTTATCAGTAGCATTTTATTTATTTATTTATTTTTGGTACTGGGGATCGAACTCGGGACCTTGCGTTTGTGAGGCAGGCTCTGGAACCACTGAGCTAAATCCCTGGCCCCATTGGTAGGATTTCAGGTCTTGGATTGTTGGTGAGCTGCTGGGTGTGTGTGTATGTGTGTGTGTGTGTGTGTTTGTGTTGTGTATACGTATGCATGTGTATATGTGTGTGTTTTAAAGTTGCAGAGTAAATCAGTGATGGGTTACCTTAGTTTCCAATAATCCTATATTGCTGTACTCATAGATTGTAATATTTTACTGTTATACACTTACTACATGTGGCCTTTCTTGGCTTGCTTTCTTGTAGGGTACATGCCTAGAAATCGTGTTGCACAAATAGCACAAAGGCTAAAGACATGAAATTTGGACAATATTGTCTTATTTCCCTTATAGGGATTGTACCATTTTGTATTCTCACCTGTTATGAATGAAACTGCCTGATTCCATTCACCCTTACACACAGGGAATGTGTCTAATTTTTAACATTTATGGATCTTATCTGTGAGAAAAGATACCACACAAAGGCTTCTAATTAATATTTCTCTACTACAAATTAATCGTTTCACATTTTAAGACACATTTCTTTTTCTGAAAACTGTTTAGTTCTTTTTTTCATTTGTTATTGGCTGATTATTCTTCCTTTCTCCAATTAAATTGTGTTCAAGCTGAGGAATAGCTCAGTGGTACAGCATGTGTTTAGCATACAAAAGGCAGTGAGTTCAGTATACAGCATCCGCTAAAAATAAAGTAGTACAGAATATTCAGTATAAAGCAAAAGTTAAATTAACTCTTTTGGTGTCATAAAAGTTTAGTCCCTGAAATTTGCTTTCACCCAGGTTGCTATCTGACTCTCTGAAGTTACTGTTTTGTTTAAATTCCCTTCATCTATTACTCCTAACTTTGCTCCTTGCCATAGATCACTTGATTTGTTTAGATAGAAAAACTGACTTAATAAACTTAATGAAAAAAAGAAAAAGAAAAACTGACTTAAGACCCATCTTTCTGTCCCTCCTTTTGTCCATGAATCAGTGGGCTCCCACACACACTTGGATACTAGTGTGACATTACATTAGTTGTGGTAATTCTTTTAGTTTTAATTAAATTTTCACAACTGGTTTTCATCCTTGTCATGTACTAGTTGCTGAGTTCGGACAGGATACTGCCTTGGGGTCCATGTTGTGGTCTATCTTCTTGTCTGTGACACGAGAGATTTACTTTTACTTTGATATTCCCCTGTCATTCTATTTACATTTTGGACCTATAGGTGATGTAAATAGGACTTGGTATGTCTTGTTTCTCCTTGGTCCTTGTCATACATTGGCTGTTCAATTTGGAAAGCAAAACAGCCTTGGGATCCACCTTGTGCTGTATCTTGTCCAAAACAGAGTGGCCCTTATTCTGTACTTAGATACATGTTTGGAATTCTATTTACATAGATAAATAGGTACATAGAGATGCATAGATCTCTTGATCTAGACCAGGAGTTTGTACCAAATTATGATCATTGTTGTCTACACGCTACACAATTATAATTTGTCCTTTATGTATACCTAGATGTGAATGTTTTTTGTTTTCTACCTGGATGTTGCTCAGATTCTCTCATTTATGTTGTGCCTATCAATAATATTGATTGCATCTTCATTTCTAGTCATGATAATTGTCATCCACTCATTGTTTGATTTAGATTTAAAACTGGCTTGGGATCCAGATTGATGTTTGCCTTTTTGTCCAGAACAGTGTCAGAATTCTCACCTATTTGGAAATTGGTATGATCTATTAGGTAACTGGCCTTCCTACGCTCCCAGTAACTGATAACAAGAATGTTTAGGCTCCATTGTCTCCAAAATTTCCTTTCAGCTTCTTACTCCTCACCTTTTCCTCATGAGCTCCCTGAGGTTCCCACAAGGACTGTCTGTGGTCACAGGTAGAGAAGACTCCTTGTCCTCATGTAGAAGAAACTGCCTGAAAAGGCCCCTGCTCACACCCAGAATGTTCTGCGTATCTCTCACCCAGCAGACCCGCTCTACTCACCACGCAGTCTCCTCCCAGATACTTGGTTCTCCAGAATGAGGAGCAGAGCAAGGATGAAGAAGATGGTGGACTTCATCTTGCCAGGAAGGACTTGGCTGAGAGCTGAGTTGAGCTTCTCATTTATATCTTCCTTGACTGGGTGTGTTATGGGTGTGGCTGAAACTACAAAAAGCACTGCCTTATCTTCCTTATCTGTAAATGCCGACTTCTTTCCTGTTGTTCAGTAAGGGACATTGTCAATGTCCCAGAGACTTTGTACAGGGCCGCAGTGAGAGAACTTCACCTCTCCCTCAAAATCCCAGCAAATATTTATTAATACCTAGAGATCAGGCACAGTTTTCCTCTTTTCCAGAAGAAATTCAGTCCAGTGTCAGGTAGAGACTTGCTACAGATTATAACAATTAATGGGTGGGTAATGAAGCTCTTACAGTATGCGGTGTTGGTGAACCTATGGCATGTGTGCCACAGTGGGCTATTGGTATCATTGAAAGCTCTAAAAGGCTCGCCATCACAGGTCTAAAATGTGGAGCTCCTTCCGTGGTGTCGTCACTTAAATGTTATATCACAGATATAACCCTGTACTTCTACATCTTGCAAAATTAGCTCAAGGTACATACTATTATAACTGACACAGAGCAATCATAAAGGCAGATGACACAGAAAAGAATGCAACTTTATGAAAGCAAAAATGTCTCAGAATAAAATAGGATATACCACTGAAAACGTGACTGTAAAGCTCATCACAGTACAAATTAACGTATGCCAGAAGCTTCCAAGTTTACTCTCTACTACTGAGTGTGAAAAGTCTATACGGTTGTGACAGACAACAGCAGCGATCTTTTCAAGAAGGCTGCATGTACAGTGCACTGAGAGCTGGAGCTGGACTTGGGGGGTGAAGTGAACTTCAGAGGTATTTTTAAAGGGAGGGAGGATTTTAATGCTTTTAAGAACAACTGTCGCAAAAGGAAGAAAGAGTGTTATTTCTTTATTGGGTCCTTTTTCTTGAAATCAATCTAAAAATACATTTTTAAAAAATTAAAAATATTTCCTATGGGAGTGTTAAACAGCTACAACTCACAACAGGCAGTAAGGAGTATTTGCCACTATTGATGAACTTCTTAATGTATTGACCTAGGTTACCAAGTGAGTATTGACGCCTGTGTACAGGTGCAGTTTTCTGCGTTAGTGAGAACACTGAAGGACATTCCTGTGGTTTGATCCATGGAGAACGCCGTACAGCCAGACTACAGAAAAGGGAAGCATCTCCACACCGAGCCTGTATGTATTCAGAGCAGGGTGGAGCAGGGATCTGGATTGAAGAGGCCTTAGAAATATATTTCCAGTCTTTCTATCATAGAATTGCAAACTGCCATAGGGAACACTGTATGGAAGTCACATAGGAAAAACTAGCCATGCTTTCATGGAAAGAACATAGGTACAAATGTTAAGTTATCAAATACAAATTACACGATAGAGTCCAATCTCTGACCAAAGTTATCTTTGTCGCAAGGGCAATAATTATTTCCCTCCAGCAGAGATCCTATTCCCAGGGAATAGGCAGAAATTATCCTAAATGAAATTTACCTCCAGTGCCTGCTCATCTCACCATTCCTCCCCACATTTCCCTCTAGATAATACCAGGAACTTCTCTGTTCAAACTTAACTTGTGGAAGAAAGATCTGATACCATTGATCTTATTTATGGATCAAAGTACAAAACCCTTGTCCAACCCAGTTTATCAAACATGCAGATGAAGCCAGAGGCTCAAGATATGTAAATAAAAAACAAAAAGCAAAAGCAGGAAAAGGCAAACCAAAAATAGGATGAGATTATAATATCATATCAGAACAAATTCAATGAAATTTTAAAAAATTCTTTCAACGAGATACTTCCAGTATTGATAAAGATGAAAGCAGAAACCAATGTCTGGAAACAAAGGCTCAGATCAATAAGTCTTAGATATGGTATCTTAATGGCAGAAGGAAAGTGTCATGCTGGCACGATGAAGCAAAATCTCCTAGAAATATTAAAGTGCACAAAGTTACCATGAAAAAGAGAAAATAAGGTCTTTAAAGTACAAGAGAATGTAAATGTGTTTATTCAATGTTATGCAAAATTACCTGACAACACAGGAATGATAATTTAAAAAGTACACTACCTCTCTCAAAAATAGAGAGAAAATCTAAATGGTAGAAATACCCTGAAAGTGATATAAAAAGTTGCCCCATAAGTGCTAGGCCTAGGTTATGTGATATGGAGCAACAACATGAGACAAATCATAGCAGAGAACTCATATAGAAAGTTCCTTAGGACTCTCAAGGGAGAAAAGATTGGGAAGAATTGAGCGAGAGGGGAAAGAGGGACACTCACCAGAGTGATATTTAGGGTTCTCCAGGACAGTCAAGCCCACCGCTCTCGATCCTGTGTAATTAGAATTGGGATGGTCTCCCAACTGAAGCAATAACACTTAGGTGCATCCTGTGAAGCAAGTGAAGTCCCCAAGTAGTTATCAAAGCCCAGAGAGCCCTGGGAGTCTTCACTGACAGAAATCACAGTGGTGAGACACCCTCTCCCCTCAACCATCTTCTCTGTATTTCCTAAATATCCAAGGTGTGCCTTATACAAAGAAAAAGACCTGTCACCAGGTGAGTATGTAATCCCAATTTTTATGTGAGAAAATACAAATACAATTTACCATATTTACTTATGCAATTTAGCGGCAGTAAGAGCATTCACACTTGCTCAGCCATCTCTACACCTTTCTCTTTTACCCAAAATGAATTACTTTCTGGTCCCAGACCCTCATAACCAATATTTTACTCTCTATCTTTAAAATTTTGATTTTTCTGGGTACCTCATATAATTGCAATAATACAAGCTTATTCTTTTGAAGCTGGCTTATCTCTGCTTCAGTATAATTTGATAGTCTGAATTTTAAAAGTTAGCACACGATCAAGGTTTTTCAAGATTTCCATGACAACGCACATGGAAGAGGTGCACTGAGTTCAATCAAGAAGATAAAGGCACTGCAGGAATAAGAAGCGATTTTACAAAAAACATGAAATAATACCTTCAAGTAAGTAAGATATATGCCATCTGTGGGATTTTTTTTTTAATGGCTGTCTTTTTTAAAGTTAAAGAAATTGGGAATATATCTAGTTATATGGACAATTCTATCTCAGAACAGACTATCTGCTTAAACATTTCAAAGCAGATTTGGACATGAGCAGGTTTCTCTCTCTTTTGCTGTGAGAAAAGCTCAGGGATCTAAGCACAAGTCTTTGCCAGGTGATGACTGAACTTGTAAGAGAAGAGCAAGCCTGTATGGTTGGGATGTGGCTAAGCAGGAACTCTGAGGTGATGTAGAAGACCTTGTGACAGTAGCCAAATTGATGCACTGTGGAGAGTCTGTTTAAACTTGAGTTCTTTTCACCTTCAAGTCTCCCCAGTTCTCCAGTTTTCTTCCTGTGATTATATCATTTACCTCGGGTCAACTATTGCCTTCAAATTCCTGCTCTTGTCTTGGTTTCTGGTTCAGGTCAAATGAATCCATGTAGAACTCTTTTATGAAAAACCACTGAATCTTCTTGCCTTGTTCACCATTCTTAGGAAAGAGAAATGCCAGAATATAAAGGACAAGTAGTTCCCAGCTCCAGCTCCGCCACTGATTTTCACAGTGAACCCAGAGGACTCCTCTTCACTGCAGTTTTCTCATTGCACAGGGAGGGAATTTGTCTGGATTCGCTCCAAGTAAAGCTTCCACTCAAGTTCAATGGGGAGTTGTGACTCTGAGAATTTTCTAAGTTGAGGTGTAGCTGGTGCATGTGCGTGACCCCTGTCATGCTGGACTGATATGAAGGCATACATGGCTGGCTAGAGCACAGTCTCAATGTCTGAGGAGGTTAAAAAAGGAAGCCCTGACAAGAGGTCTAGATTGTTCACGACTGTCCTGCTACTTAAGCCAGGGTGTATACAGAGCCTGCAAGGGTTTCCATTCTCAGCCAAAATTCCGTAGTTTGAGGACACTTAGCTTCCAGAAGGAGCATGAAAGCAGTCAAAGGGCCTGCAAAGAACTATATATTTCTAGTAATACTAGCCAATCTGGATATTGAATTTCCATTCTATAATCATTGCATAATTTCAATAATATCATGTAGTCCTAGAGCCACTCCTCTTTACCATCATTCTTGATGTCTCCTCACCACTACCTGCAGAAATGTAAATGTTTTTATAAAGCAATTTCATGGGGATTGAAGCCTGTAAAGATCCATAGGGTCTTTAGAGACATTTGTATGCTTTTTGATTGCCCACTGTGTCAAGCTCCTACCTTCTATTTTGGTACCCCTATACTTAAATCCATGTTTGAGTCTTAATTAGTGACAATGGTGGCCTTCTATGCCAGTAATGGAATATACAAGAGGGTCGTTTTTTTCACCCTAGATAACTAGGGCTGTGCTAACATGTTCTGCAAATCTTACTAGGCTCCAGCTGGAACTTTTGAGCTCTGTTGAATAATTCAAGAGGGCACAAAGTATTTTTTTTTCTCAGCCCAGGGTAGTTTGGGGATTCTTCTGCGTATGACTCTCAGGGCACGGATGGCAGGAATGAGCACCCAGGACTGTAGCAGCAGTTTCTTCATCATACAACTCATGAGTGGCGGTACGGGGTGCAATTGTGCTGGCTGAACACTCACACAGTGAGCCTGAGCCTGATCATCACACTTTTATAATTCCATGTATCACCTTTTGCAGGTTAGGTTCTCTAGGAAGCCGGACCTGAAATAGGGTTAAAAGGACAAGTTTCAGCACAAAAATATTGGAATGAAGGTGAAAGAGAAGAAGCACATGTGGGCAGAACACACTGTGACCACATACCTATTTGAGAACAACTCTGCTAATCAAAGAAAAAGCTCTGGAACAAGAACTTTCCAGTAGAGGATCCTCCATTGGGCTGAAGATGACGCATCCTTGAACCACAGCCTTATGCTGTCCCTGATTTGGGCCTATGGATCTGTGTTTTCTCAGTTCAAATATCAAGGTAATACTGCAGGAGCATATGCTGGCAGGAGTCATCTATACATATACTATGTAGCAGACAAGAAATCGATCCTTATAGTGGGGTCTGAGCACATCTACAAGTTAGCCACAGTCCACTCGGGTTCTGCGGGGACC